ACTTGGCATATCGATAGAGGACAGTTTGGAGGTGAGAATGCGCCATTTCGAGTGGTCTTGTTCGGCTTTTTGGTGAAGATATGGCCGGACAAAAAATAGAAATGAGGATTTTACTATTTTATTGGAAAAGCGCCTTGACCACGCCCACCGCGCCGAGAGAGCAGAGCGGCCGACATCGGTCCGAAAAAAATCTGCTGAAACTTGGCACATCGATAGAGGACAGTTTGGAGGTGAGAATGCGCCATTTCGAGTGGTCTTGTTCGGCTTTTGGTGAAGATATGGCCGAACAAAATGAGAAAAGGAGGACTAAAAGAATGGTGTAATAAGAAGTGAAAGATGGAGCTTGGCATTGGGAGTGATAAGGTGAACATAATGGAAAGGAAAAAGTAATGATCGCCACCGTGGGGCTCGAACCCACGACCACAAGGTTAAGAGCCTTGCGCTCTACCGACTGAGCTAGACGGGCTTCACTGACTATGTACCAACTACACCCACTCACACACACAACGATTAGTAGGGCTTCTCAAATTGACGATCGAACGTGTAAAGCTACCCCACACCCATGCCTACACATTCACGTGCATATCGCGCCATTCACTGTCTAAAAGCCTTCTTTTATCGCCCACAAATCGATATTTACACTTTTTACCACAATCCTGACCAAAGAGCCACGCAAAATAGTCACAGCATTCTACCACATGACTATATTTATTGGGAAAGTCGTTTCCAAACTCGAGCTCCATTTATTTTGCATTTTACCGATTTTTTGGAAAAGCGCCTTGACCACGCCCACCGCGCCGAGAGAGCAAAGCGGCCGACATCGGTCCGAAAAAATCTGCTGAAACTTGGCATATCGATAGAGGACAGTTTGGAGGTGAGAATGCGCCATTTCGAGTGGTCTTGTTCGGCTTTTTGGTGAAGATATGGCCGAACAAAAATGAGAAAAAGGAGGACTAAAAGAACCCACCGCGCCGAGAGAGCAAAGCGGCCGACATCGGTCCGAAAAATCTGCTGAAACTTGGCATATCGATAGAGGACAGTTTGGAGGTGAGAATGCGCCATTTCGAGTGGTCTTGTTCGGCTTTGGTGAAGGGTGAAGATATGGCCGAACAAAAATGAGAAAAAGGAGGACTGTAATAAGAAGTGAAAGATGGAGCTTGGCATTGGGAGTGATAAGGTGAACATAATGGAAAGGAAGCCCACCGTGGGGCTCGAACCCACGACCACAAGGTTAAGAGCCTTGCGATTGACACTGAGCTAGACGGGCTTCACTGACTATGTACCAACTACACCCACTCACACACACAACACTACAACTTCATCATCAATGTGTCTCATCAATACACACCACATTGCTCCTCATGTGTGCCTACACATTCACGTGCATATCGCGCCATTCACTGTCTAAAAGCCTTCTTTATCGCCCACAAATCAACACTTTTTTTTACCACAATCCTGACCAAAGAGCCACGCAAAATAGTCACAGCATTCTACCACATGACTATATTTATTGGGAAAGTCGTTTCCAAACTCGAGCTCCATTTATTTTGCATTTTAGAAAAGCGCCTTGACCACGCCACCGCGCCGAGAGAGCAAGCGGCCGACATCGGTCCGAAAAGTCGCGTCCCGCTCGCCGCGCGCCTATTTATTGCCGCGTATTTATGTCAGATATGGCCGGCCGAACAAAAATGAGAAGGAGGACTAAAAGAATGGTCTATTTATCCACTGACTCCAAACAAGTGTTTCCCTGAGTGATAAGGTGAACATAATGGAAGGAAAAGTAATGATCGCCCACCGTGGGGCTCGAACCCACGACCACAAGGTTAAGACACATCCCGATTGACACTGAGCTAGACGGGCTTCACTGACTATGTACCAACTACACCCACTCACACACACAACACTACAACTTCATCATCAATGTGTCTCATCAATACACACCACATTGCTCCTCATGTGTGCCTACACATTCACGTGCATATCGCGCCATTCACTGTCTAAAAGCCTTCTTTATCGCCCACAAATCAATATTTACACTTTTTACCACAATCCTGACCAAAGAGCCACGCAAAATAGTCACAGCATTCTACCACATGACTATATTTATTGGGAAAGTCGTTTCCAAACTCGAGCTCCATTTATTTTGCATTTTACCGATTTTTGGAAAAGCGCCTTGACCACGCCCACCGCGCCGAGAGAGCAAAGCGGCCGACATCGGTCAAAAAAATCTGCTGAAACTTGGCATATCGATAGAGGACAGTTTGGAGGTGAGAATGCGCCATTTCGAGTGGTCTTGTTCGGCTTTTTGGTGAAGATATGGCCGAACAAAATGAGAAAAGGAGGACTAAAGAATGGTGTAATAAGAAGTGAAAGATGGAGCTTGGCATTGGGAGTGATAAGGTGAACATAATGGAAAGGAAAAGTAATGATCGCCCACCGTGGGCTCGAACCCACGACCACAAGGTTAAGAGCCTTGCGCTCTACCGACTGAGCTAGACGGGCTTCACTGACTATGTACCAACTACACCCACTCACACACACAACACTACAACTTCATCATCAATGTGTCTCATCAATACACACCACATTGCTCCTCATGTGTGCCTACACATTCACGTGCATATCGCGCCATTCACTGTCTAAAAGCCTTCTTTATCGCCCACAAATCGATATTTACACTTTTTTTTACCACAATCCTGACCAAAGAGCCACGCAAAATAGTCACAGCATTCTACCACATGACTATATTTATTGGGAAAGTCGTTCCCAAACTCGAGCTCCATTTATTTTGCATTTTACCGATTTTTTTGGAAAAGCGCCTTGACCACGCCCACCGCGCCGAGAGAGCAAAGCGGCCGACATCGGTCCGAAAAAAATCTGCTGAAACTTGGCATATCGATAGAGGACAGTTTGGAGGTGAGAATGCGCCATTTCGAGTGGTCTTGTTCGGCTTTTTGGTGAAGATATGGCCGGACAAAAAATAGAAATGAGGATTTTACTATTTTATTGGAAAAGCGCCTTGACCACGCCCACCGCGCCGAGAGAGCAGAGCGGCCGACATCGGTCCG